AAGTAACGAAGTGAAGAAAACAAAGTGTAAGTAAATGCAAGCTTCAAGCAGCATCAGTGCTTTCTTGGGATAATCTGTATTATGATGACGAAAAACAATATTGCATATACTACAATATGTAATGGGAGCAATTGCGACATTTTTATCATGTATATTGATAAAGAACAAAATATTTAGCAGTATTGGTATACTACATTAAATAATTCAAAATAACAGTTTACGTTTAATAAAAAAATTGATTGCTGTCATTATAATTATCTTAAGCATAAAAATGTTTTTGAAGCTTACAGTGTTACGTATAATATATTACTTATTTATTTTAAAACGGCCAATTTCTAATAATACAGAGTCATCTTGTGGAAATATACATAAATTCTGCGTAGCGTTAGTGAGCACTCGGATGTAAGCTGAATGAAATAGCGAGTATCATTGGTCTATTTCAACGTCCGAGACTGTACGAAGATGACGTAGGGGTCAATGTCTGTATATGCAGCTATCGTCATTTTAGCTCGTTAAGGTTAATCGCACGTAGACTGGAAGTGGAAGAGGAAGTTAGGGATAGCCATATTATAATTTTGATTTTCTTATTAAATACGCTCTTTCTGACATCTTTTGACCAGTCGGTAATTTTATGTGTTTTGATTATCAATAAAACACACGAAGAAAAATTGTCCAGAAGATCTCGTACAAGGAAATTTGAATCATATGTATCACTGAGCGTGTTTCTCGATATCATTATCAAGACCTTGTTTAACTTTAGGCTTAGCTTCGTTAGTGAAATCTTTGGTATTAAACATTTCTCAATTCTACTTTTCTAGGCTTTGATTGTAGAATGTGATGTTCGAACTATTGCCTATTACGTGTAAAAGAAAGAAAAAAATATTTAATAATGAGTGGTAGACCAAGAACCACCTCCTTTGCAGAAGGTAATAAACATCAGCAGCAACAACAGCCAAGTTTTTCAGGAGTTAAAATAAGCAGTAAGTATTCTTGGTACTGGCAGTGGGTAGTAGTACTTTTACTCCCATACTGGTACTTTACTTTTCATCAGTTTACAAACAGTTTTACAAGCTGCAATGGTGTCAGGCTTTCTTTCTTTTTATTTTTTTTTTGCTCGTGAAAGTGGTTCTTCACTCAACTACCTGGTATGGTAGTAGTGGTACTAAATCAGAGTTTGGCTATTCAGTCAGCAGTCATGTAAGTTTTGATCTGAACACTGGCCAGGTTAGGTCAGTTGGTCAAATAGTTCAAGTTGTAAAATGGGATTGATCTAAAATATATAATCCTTTTGCTCAATTTTTTCAGTTCTAAAGGTAATATATATACATATATTTTTCATTTCATTAATGAGGTTCACTATTTACTTGAGAGTCACAATCAATATTAAATATCTAAGATAACATTGTTACTCAAAAAATCTCATGAATTTGTTCTGCAAATATCCAGTCTGTTAACTGATATTCAACTGCCAAGTGAATAGCCAAACACTCATATCTGATACTCAGCTGCTGGGTAAATATTTTTACATCACCATAAAATGATGGGACCCATTTATAATTTAGAAAATCACAAACGTTATGGAGGAAATTTAGGATTTACTTTTAAAGCTAGCACTGTCATTTTCAATGACCTGAGCAAAATCTAGCATGATAAAAGGCAAATACTTTTGATAGAAATTGTGTTCTACAACATGTCAAGTAACATCTGAGGACATCAAAGGGCCTGTTGGTCAATGAGGCTGTCCCATCCACTTATAAAGTAACTGTTAAGATGTATGTGAAGTTTGGTATTTACTGTGTAACATGTTTTGGAATGAATTTGAAAATGGTGGGTGTGGAAAAATGTATATAATAAAAAGTAAATATTTTGTTACATATCAACTTTACTCGGTTCATTTTTAGTCAGTTGTCAAAACAAAGATCTTATTTTGAGTGTAATAAAAAAAGTTAAACAGATACTCTGAAGATGAAATGTCATGAATCTTTTAAATTAAAGATGTTATAATATTTCATTAAAAAGCACTTACTGTATTACATGTAATTACTTGTGTCAGATAGTTATTCTATTCTTATGTTGTTTTTACTTTGATATCCTCTTAATAATCTGATGCAAAGTAATGAATTTATTTTATTGTAAGAGATTTATGTATATCACTGTATAAAAGATAAGCTAGTTTAAGACAGGACTGCTTGTGCTGGTTCATTGGTAAGCATGCTGGACTATGAATCTTCAGGTCCATCGTTTACATCATGTTAGCTAAAGAAATATTGTGCTCCACAATTTGGGGTCATGAATGTGTTATTAAGGTGAGGTCAAATACCATTATTTAGTCAGACTAGAGTAGCTTAAGAGTTGGTAGTGGGTGTTGTTCACAAGCTTCTTTCCCTGTAGTTTATCAGTGAAGGCTGGCACTAATATAGATTTGAATAGATTTGCTTTAATACCCCAAAACAATCAAACAAACCAATCAGTATGTCCATGAGCATTTTTCTCTGTATGTTTTTTTATTATTATCATTATTATTTAAATATTTATCAAGTTTCTTTTCCTTAAACTCCCTTAACACATTCATTGCTAATAATGTGTCAATAATTTCTATTAATCAGGTGCTACTGTTGCATTAACATGCCAATCAGCAGAAGGGCTATAACTACATACAGCATACGGATAAATAGTTCCTTAGCACTATACAGTGATTGTGTGTCTTGCCCTCTTGTGAATGACAGAAAAATATTTTTCACAAGTTTAAAGTCTCTTGACTTGAGATTTCTGCGTTGGTTTGTTTTGGTTACCATTATAGCTACAAAATGGCAGAGTTGTGCAAATGTTTTAGTTTGAGTGAAACTGCTAGTATTTTACAAGATTCTGATTCAGAGTCATTTGTGGAGGATGATGTAGATAGGTATAGTGATTCTGAGTCTGAAGATGAAAAAGAGGCCTGGATTGTACAGAGCAGGTAAACTTCCAAACTGATTCATCCATAGCTGATGCTGGAATACCAATATCAGTTGATGGATGGGAGACTGTCCAGGCTTCATATGTTAATCCAACTAATATTTCTTTTACTGCACAGCCTCAGATGGTTGCAGGTTTGCTGTCAGAGACCATTCCAATTGAAATTTAATTTAAGGTTTAACTTTTTCTCTTCAGAAAAAATCTCAAGCTTTGGAGTAATTCTTTTAAAAGTTTTAATTACAGTATGATAAAGATAAATAGGGAGTTGAGCAAGTTTGTTGGCAGTTATAAAACTAACATGTAAATGAAAGTGTGAAATAGTGTGCTAGAATTCAACCACCTAAAAGCAGAATGCATCGGTCTGTAACTGAAGCAACTGAAAAGAAAATTTCTTAGCATTCTTTTGATCATGGGCATCGAGAAAAAACATTTAAAACTGGTCAACTGATTCAGTTTTGGCTACTATGCTTGTCAATATCATTAGGCCACGTAATAATTTCTAATTGTTGCTAAAGTTTTGGCACTTTAGTAGCAATGAATGTGGGTTAAAATTTCTGTAGCAGAAAATGTTAAATTACATTATCTGCTACATCTGAAGGCAACTTTTTCCAAAGGCAAACCACCCTGTTAGAAAAATAAAACTCTTTGGTGAAGAAGACTCTTACCCGTAGTAACATTGTGATAGGTCCTTTTACATTCACTCAAAATTTCCAATAACATAATATTTAAGGACAACAGGAAATCCATTGATCTATCTAGGCTGCACCATCCACTGAACTAAACTGTTAAAAAAACAACTTCAGATCTTGCCCTTATCATTCAAATATTTTTCACATTTTCCCTTAAACCCCTAAATGGTAAGTTTCAAGTGATTGTTAGACCATAGGATTGCTCCAAGTTCAACTGTTTAAGACTTTGATATAATTGTTAAACTACTTCCATTTTTATTGGTTGGTGATAAAGAAAACTTTGAAAACATTTGAGATTTTGTATTGTTATTTTAAATCTGTAATTACAGAAAAGTTGTTGGGGGGGGGGGATCCCTGACCTATTTAACCTACTTTTCTAAACTATGTATGCTTCAAATTGCTTTGGGTTCAAATACTTTGTTGGTTACAGAGTCTTGAATAATGTATGAATCACACAGAAACATGTGTATTGTAACTAACCCCAGTAACTTTTACTGGAATTGTTTCTTACAAAGAGAATGAGTAATTTCACCCAATTTTTCTCTTGAATGTTGTAACAGGCAAAAACATTTAATTACTCAGTATAATGTAATATGTGAACCATGCTGGTATTAAATGGTGTAAACGCATGTATAATTTTAGGATTAACTTTTTTCTTCAGAAAAAATCTCAATCTTTGGAGTAATTCTTTTAAAAGTTTTAGTCATGGTATGATAAAGATAAATAGGGAGCTAAGCAAGTTTGTTGACAGTTATGAAAAATAACATGTAAATGAAAGTGTGAAATGGTTAAAATTAATTTAAGGCTTTTATGTTGGTAGTAAATGAAAATGTAGTACAATTAACATTCGTTAGTTACATACATGAAAAGGCATTCAGCCAGTATGGATTACCATACCATCATCAAAGCAAAAAACTAAAATATAACATCCAAAAATGTCAGTAATAATAATATATATGCACTTGTTTCAGTCCAACGAGTGCTTAAAAGAATTTAAACTAAGAGTACACATGTTATAAACTAATCCATGAGTTTCAACTCTACCAGAAAAGTAATTTTGTCGAAGAAGTTTGCATATAGACTTGAAAAGCTTAAACTTATTACTTCTAATGTTTAAGAATGCAAAAAACAAAAAGCCAATCAGCCAGTTGAAGAAATCTTATCATGTACAAAGAAAAAGTTTTAAAATCTGAAGTTAAATAATCTATTTACATCCTTATATACTTATAAAATTTTAGAAGCTCAAACGTGTGCAAACTATTTCAGAATTTTGTAACTAACCAAACATTAAATTCGTTTGCATTCTGGCATTCATATTTAAACCAACTACCCCTAATACTGAAGTTTGTATTTAAACTTGAATATACCAGTACTCAAACAGTTACAAATTTCTTAGGACCTGAATCAAGTATCTTAGTTCTTCTGTGCTACAAAGAGAACAAGTTGAAAACTTGGCCTTTCCTCTTAGCCTAAATGATCTGAATTATCTATTTTAATAAACTTTAAAAAATTAATCACACTTTTGGAACAAAATATTAGCACAAAGACAACAAAACTAGTTTGAACTTTTTCATTTAGCTAATACACATAGTATTGTGTATTTTACACCACTATTATTTTAATATTCTTTGTATTCTTTCCAACATTTTGACCTTATTTCCTGTAATAAGTGGAACAAAACTTTACACAGTTTCTCAAATAAGACCTCAGTAGTCTTGCACAAGGATACAATAACCTCTTAATTCAAAATTATTATAAATAGAATTAGTCATCTATTTTGCTTTCACCACAACTAAACATACAGTTGAGGACTTTAGGGATTTGTCAGTAATTAGTTATAGAATTTTTTGTCATAAAACAAGTGCTCTTACACAATAGAAAGCAAATTATCTTTTGTTTCTATAACCCAAGTGCAAAACTTTATAAGTGTCAGTATTAAAACAAACTTTCTTTACATTCTGATCTATTCAGCAAGTTAACAAAAAGCACATTTTCCTGTGTTTTAAAGATTCAAGTAAGCTTATCTTTCTTCTAGTAAATAAAACAAATTCAGCATTCATTATATTATGAGTTTACCTCTACTGAAATAACGGTTTAAAAATGGCATGTCATGAAATGAGTTACCTTATTCATGGTGAATCTTCTGTATTTGATATCATTGGATGCACATACCATATGCTATAAAGGTTTCAAGTTTCTACTTTGTAACAGAAATACATGTACCAAAACATCTTCCTGTTTTTTTGGTGGTGGTGTTTTTTACTGGGATGCTTTATAAATATATTTTAATACTTAAAGCCAAACAAGTTAAACATTAAAAATAATTAAATATGAATTATTCTGTTCTAGAATAGAAAGAAAATTAAATTCCTTTTTGAAGTAATCTAAATTCTATCATTACTGTTAGTGACTTGGCATGAGTGATAAATTTATTCAAAGTCATGAAAGTGTTTTTAAAAACATTAATATTCTTGTCTTTCTTCTCCAAAAATTTTTTATGTGGTGCTTCTTAATTACATAATAAAATTTTATCTGAAGAAAACATTCATGTAAAAGTCATGCATGTTAGTAACATCTAATTATGCCAAATTAACCATGAATTTTTGTTATACTCACTAAAACTTGTAATTTCATTAAAAAAAAAATCTTGAGGCCAATCTGTTATTCAGTTTGCTACTCTATCTGCAGTAGACTGTAGTTTTTGCAAATTGATTCTTCAGTACTGCTTAGGAGAGCAAGCCAAAGGGATAATTAGGCCTTCATGTAGTAGTGGAATGCTAACAAAATGTTAGATTTGATATAAAGGACTTTACATCAGGTTCTACAAGTTGCTGTGTAGCTCATCAATCAGTTTATGGTGATAATGATCTCCCATGATTTGTTTCTTTTATCATAGATACAGGGCTTTGTTTCTTTTGAACTGGTAAACACGTGGATATGTACTGGCAAATAGTGTGTATATCTGGTAAACACACTTTTTGTTTCTAATATGTTTTTATGTGAAAAAAAATGCATATTTATGTGGATATTTATTTTATGTGGAGCACTGGTATACTAAAAAGTCAAGACGACAGTTTACATCATTACAAGAATGTTGTTGGATGAACACTCACAGAAAATATGAGACCCAACTTGGGCTGACTGCCTAGGTGACAAGCTGCCACGGAAGAAGACCGTGTTAGTAGCATGTCTGATCTCTTTCATGAGTGTCACATAATCTCATTTTTAACTTGCATGAGTGAGGACATTAAACTTTATCTATAGGGTTATAAGCTATACATAACCAAGTTAAAAATAAAACACAAAGTAATGAAAAGTATCAAGTTTATGAGCTGTGTGTTTGGAGTTTACATGAATTATAGTTTACAAAGCAACTACTATGTTTTTTGTTAGGTCGTTTTGTATGTTTTTTTTAACAAATATCAATATAACATTTAATGAATAGAAAGTGTAACAACCTACATATAAAATGTGAATATAATGAATGTCTTGTTAACGATTGAAAAAGGTGAGGTGAAGGATAATGGAGGACTTAGCTAGTTCAAAGGAAAATGTAACTTCAAATCATCATACAGTTTTTTAAATTGTGTAGAAGAATATCAGTAAATAATTACAAATTGAATATAAAATGGAAGGATCAGACAGTAACAGTATGAAACACATGAAAGCATATAGTTTTATTGTTTCAATTTAAACTGATCATATAGAAACTTTTTGATATTACTTCAGTACAAATAATTGATTTCCTTTTTCAACCACAAGATTAATGACAGGTGACTGTAGTGTTCTCAATTTATATTCAGATGTAGGTTTGCTGTGTAACTCAAAGTCTTAACACTTTCTGAAAAATAAATCATTACCAATTTTCAGCACAACTTTAAAAGTTTTAATTAATACTTACATATAATTGTTTTTCTGAAACACACTTACCTCCTTTCACACTTTAGCTTTATTCTGACTAAAGGTTCTCTTCTTTTCCCATCTAAACATTGGTATGAATTCTATCTCACTTGCTCCAGTCTTTATACCGCACTATATTGCCCCCCTAGTGATATTAATCTTCTGACTCTCTCCACATATGTTAATGTGCCTTTTATGCCTGATCTATATAAATGCTCCCCATTATTTTCCCTTATTTACATTTTCTTGACAGCAAAAATTACGAAAATGGTTTTATGTGTTTACTTCGGGTTTATCTTCGGTGTTATTACTACATTTGCAACGTTTTCTTTCAAATTATTTTAGATATTTTTTAGTGGATCCTTAGTTTATTGTTTATTTCTTTGATTTAAAAAAAAACGTTTTGGAGATATTTTTCAAATATCAATACTCATGTTCACATCCTTGACACTGAGTTTCCATGATATCCCTCCTTTATGATCTCATGGGTCTTAACATTGCTTGGATATCAGAGGAAATGCAGTCTGATGCTTTTTCTTTTATTGGCTCTGAGGCTGTGTTTGTGGGAAATCAAGGGTGGACTAGTGAGTATTTAGACTCTGTTTTTCCAGCACTTTCCATTGCTCAGACAGCTACTCCTGAACCTTGGATGAACATTTTGCCTCCTGCACCTTTTTACAACTAGTACACTATGTTTGTAATGTTTTGGGGATTTCTCCTGTGGCTTATGTATCTTACCTTATTTATTAGGAGACACTAGTTCATCTGCTTACCTAGTTATCCCATCAGTAAATTATGCAAATTAGTATTATCTAAGGTTCAAATCTTTGTTTAGTAAGGTGTTCTGAACCTTCAAAGGTAAAAAATCTACCCTTCATCACAACTCTTAAAACATCTGATGCTGTTGGAGAGAAGTTCCTGATTGGAGATCTTGCCAATGATGTATATTTTATTATTTTGTGGTTAAACTTATAAACCAGTGTATGGAAGACAACAAATTCTGTATCAGTGGAACTACCAGGATTTCTCTGGCATTGTTATAGCCACTGATGGAAAGCTCTGTATATCAGCATTGGTAAGTTACACCTGTGGTTTCCAGACGGGGATCTGCAAGACTTTCTTCATAAGGCATCAGCACATACAGTGTTGTTCCTAGGTTTAACAGTTTAAGGGACCTGTGCCCCTTTCTATCAAACTTAAGGAGACACAGTGGAAATTTTAAGGGACATTTTTGAGATATAATTTTTTGTAATAAAAATATTAATAAAGATGATCAGTTATGTTATGTTGATAGAATAGAATTGTATGAGCACTGTTTTGCTAATTACTTCCACATTGAACAAATTATTGTTACAATTCTTAAAGTATTTTATGTTTCCAAAGTAATCTGTGTGGATGTGGTACATTAGATGTGTAAATTATCTGTGCTTGACCTTGAACTTAAATGGGTGAGTGTATCACTAGTGCATTAACCTTAATGTTGTGTGTATTTTATTATTTTTCAGTAAAGTACATATTTATAAATGCTTCTATCTTTTATGCATAGACTTACAACAAATGATCTATAAACAACACAAAGAAATGTAAGAATAGTGGTGCACCTGGCCAAGATCAGTGTGGTTAGCACCTCAGTTATTCACTATAGGGTGAGGATTGCCAATGCCAAACAGATATTTAGCCTCATTTTGGATCTGTTAGAATTCCATGCTAGTGATTCCCTGAATGATCAAAAGTAAAGTGAAAGTAGTAATGTTTATTACTTAAAACGTGTCAGAAATAGCTCATCCAATAAAATATATGCCTAGTCATGGAAATTTGTATTGTACCATTTTCAGGGGGACACGCGCATAAAACTCCAGCAATTCTGGGCCCTCTGCACAATCCTGAATGTAGAAATATTCTCTTTTAAACTTCCTTGACATTGGACAAAGTAATATTTTCAGTAAGAATTATATTTATAGCTTGTGATATGACTCCACAACATTATTTAATTTTTTCCAAAAATAAATTGCAATGAAAGTAAGGTACCTCAGAGTAACTATTGTTTATATTTATATAATCAGTAAGTGGAGTTCCTCAGCCAGTGTCTAAGGTCTTGGGGGGGGGGGGGCTTAAGCTAAAACATTTGAGTACTTCTAAGCTACACAACTGTACACGTTACTATGACAGTTATTTGCATTGTTAAATATGTAACTAGTTATGCTTTACCAGGTACATTTGTTACCATTTCTGGGTTTGTTATTGCTAAAAAAGTGTTAAATATTAAGTGAATTAGTGCTTTTTCAAATAAAGTTTGATAACTTTCTATTATTTTTCCATGAAGTCTTTTTTTTTTTCTAGAAGGAACCAAGGTTGTGTTTATGATCAAGTACTCCTAAGTGATGTAGACTCCTTTAAAATTCAGGAAATTAAATTTGTATAAATAGCAAAACAAAATTGATTGTTTTTGCAAAATAAAGTGTAACAGCAGAGTTGTGTTACCTATGTGATATTCTAAGCATAAGCAGTTATTTATACATTCATACGTTGTCAGTTTTAATTTAGCTTTTTAAGAACTAGTTGGAAGAACAATAAAGAATCAAAAGCATAGACAAAACAAACCTCTTCATGATGCTTAGTGCCATACAGTATATGTAAAATATAAGCTTTTTTTTGTATTTTTATACCATTTGTAAACTGTGATTAACTCTTAGTATTTGTTCAGAAATGTGTGAGGTGATGTTACACAGCTTTTTTTTTATTATTATATATGCTTAAGAATGCATCTTACCTTGTTTTATAATAATTCATTTCGCACTGTTTGTAAGTGATCAAGTGATCATAGAATTGGTAAGCTTATGTATCACAATTAAATATTTTAGTAAAAACAGGAAAATACAGGTACTCCAGAAAGGGAGTATACATGTGGTGCATGCATGTTAATCTTATTGTCAATTAATTTGGGTTTGAAGTGTAAGAAGATGTTCTTACTCATCATAATACAGTCCAAAAATTTAAAAAATCTGCTTTTGTTTTCTGTGTATTGTTTTTTTCTGTTGATAACAGAGCCACTTTTACCCCACTTTAACCAGGCCAGCTGAATGCAGCAGGTCCCATGGTGTTGTGAGAGACACAACTCAACTAGCGAGAAAGCAGCACACACCTACAGCAGTCACGATAGATACTATCTGCAGTCATGGATACCACAGAACGCTCCCCTTCAGTTCACAGTAAGCACTAACTGTTAGGGAATATAGCTGTTCCACTTGATGGCTGTAGAGTGGTGTCTGTGCTGTAGTCAAACCTTGGGTGTTGCAACTTACATTATCTTGTAGACTTGCAGTATCATAGATTTTAGTTAATGTAGTCAAAAATTCATTTTTCTTTGTATATTGTAATGTAACATGTAATCACTAAATTTTTTGTGTTCACCACAAAAATCTATGGTAAAAAGGATTAAAATGGTGTTAACAATCTTGTACATGAATTACATCCTTAAAATGTTCAACATTTTGCTAACTAACTAAGATGTAACTTAATTGGAACATTATGTAACAATGAAGATAAATATTTTGGTAAAATTTTCTATGAGAAATTTATGATCTTTTGTAATTTGTTAGATATAAGAAGTTTGTCAAAAAAGAAAAACAACCTAAGAAAATGTAGTAAACATCAGTGTCATTTGGTATAGTAAGTCAAGCTTTTAAGTGGATCTTTATTGTAAAATTTTAGATTTCTGTGACATCTGTATATTAACCTATATTTTATCTCTGTGCATTCAGGAAACCAAAAGTATACTTCAGACTATAATTTAACCTACAGTAGTCATGATAGACACTATCTACAGTCATAGATACCTTAGACCACTCACCTTTAGCTCACAGTAAGCACTAACTTAGGAAATGTAGCTGTTCCATTTGATGGCTGTAGACTAATATGTGTTCAGTAGTCAAACTTTGGATGTTACCAGTAATGTTGCAGTTTGCATCATTATGTAGACTTTACAGTGTCATAGGTTTTAATTAGTATGGTCAAAATTTCCTTTTTTTTGTATATATTGTAACAGAACATTAAATTATGTCTTCGTTTAAATTTTTTGTAGTGTTCATCACAACATTAAAGAAAGTTATTGTAGAGTGGATTTAAATGGTGTAAAAGTGTTCTACATTAAATACATAGGTTATTGTATCATCATTTTCTTCTACTTTACTGGTCCCCTGTTCCAGATCCTGCATCTTTAGCAGTGGATGCTTTGAGCCAGTTTTGGGAGAACTTTTTTCTCTACACCACCTTCCTCTTCATTGTTATCTTTGAGTTTTGCCCAAGATCAATTTGTTGAAATTGTCAAGTTTGCTTTATTGTTCCACAATGAACTGCTCAATTGTGGTTTCCACTACTACATTTTATATCTCAAGTGTATCCTATTCTGTTAGCTCTTTAGAAATATTTTCTATGCTAGCCTCAAACATCCATCTTCCATAATGATGTTCTTTGTCTACAGCTTCATGACTGGCTGTTTTGCAACCCTTTGTTAGAATAATTGGTTTCTTAGTAGCTTGAATGCTTTCAAATTCTTGCAGATCCCCTGGCTGTATTACCAATTTTGTTGGTTTATTTTCATGAAGAAGATGAGGCAGGCTTAGTTGAATTATATTTTACTCAGCTGTATCATTTTGCTTCACTGACAAGGCTATTGTGTTAGGCCTTGTTTCAATTATGTTATACTGGCCTAAGCATTTGCTTGAATGAGCAAATAAAATCACCAATAATAAATATTGTGATAAATAAATGAATGTAAAATGGGCTTAAAGCTTATTATTTATTAAATGAAATCTTCTGATTGATAAATAAAAAACAGCTTGCTCATAATTTTGGCATAATAAAAAATTAATTTTTTTGTGTGCCAATTATTGTAAACACAGTGAAACTGTGCTTTGTTTTTGAATGAAGAAAAAAAAACAAGTTTTAGTTTTATAAATTACGAGCTATAAATGAAAGTTTTAAAAGAATGTAGGAAAACATAACATTGGTAATTCAAATTGAAAATATAGTTAAGCATATATAATTGTTTCTTAAAACCATTGCAGCAAAATTCATACAAATATCACATATAAAAATAAAACTTTATTTGTAGAAGCTGCATTATCTGTAGAAAATAATTCTGAAGTTTGAAGCAAGTTGATCCAGTAGTTTTTCACTGCAATTTAGCAAACCATACAGTAAGTGTGTCAAATTGATAGGCTCATGTCTTACTTCTTTTTTTGAACCTTTAGTAATTTGGTTACTCTGCCATCTTTCCCTAAAAACATATTTTCTTCTGTTTCTCACTTCAGGTAGGAGATGATCAAACATTTTTGCCATAATGGTGTTTGGATTTCTTTTTGTATCTTAATAATATCTTAAATCTTTATAAGGCTTCACTACAAAAGGTTCTTCAGTTGTGTTATGTGCCAACTGACCCAAATTGTTCATAAAAATATTTTCAAAGTTGTATTAAAGCCATTTAGTTTCTAATAAGCACCATGTACATTATACTTAATTGACCAAAACTAGATAATTTTTCAGTACTTCATAAATCCTGAATTTCTATGATTAAGGCATTGAACTAAATTAATGCATGGTTTTATATTTGTAAAATCGCACATTTTTGACCATTAAGAAAATGGAAATAGATTAGATTATGTGAACATTGCATCAAGAAATGTAAATAAACTATTTCCATTCATCATTAATAAATTTGGCAAAGGAGATTTTGTAACAAATGTTTTCACTCTAACAGATTCAAAAAATAAATGAGTTATTCTCAAAGATAAATACTGCTGTGAACCTTCCATCGTCACTCCTACTGTCTCATCAACTCTGTCTGAATTGATTGCTTTATGATAAAAATTGGTTTTTACAGTAGATTTCAAAATATCAAGAAACACAAATGATTTCCAGTAGTTGACTGCTGTTCTTAAGGAGTAAAAAAGGTAAAAGTTAGTGTGTGGAATAATAAATATGAAAAAATAAATAGATATTATGAGAGCTGGGAGCATCTATTGAGGTGACCTTAACATTTATGTTGCCTATTATAGCATCATTCTTCAATTGGGATTGGTTAGGTTTCCGAGCCATCTCGACAAACACTTCCTGGTCATGAGACCTTACCCTTTTTCTATTCCTGAAAAAAGAATAGTCACATATTTGAAAGCACTCAAGTTTCAGGGTCTTTTGAGATCTACTTTAATTTTTTTTTGGTGTTCCTTTGTGTTAATTATTTCATCATAACTAATTATTTTTCAGCAATTTCATGACATGACATATTTTTGGAACACACTCTCCTGTCTCCATGGTTCATTGTAGTTTGCTGAAATAATGATCAGGATGTACTTCCCTGGATATCAACTGTTAGGAACTGCTATCTTACAGTGCTACCATTGATAGGAGATTTCAGTACTATGTGCTGAAAATTTTATCATAATGTGGTACTTCTAAGATTAATTCAATTATTGCCAAATCTCAGTTTTATTATCATGAACTACCAGATTTTCAGTAATGTCATGCAGTACAGGAATTTTATTTCACAGTAACACAAGTTAATTTTTCAATGTGACAATTATGCACTTTTTTGTGCAACTAATCTGTTTTGGCCACTGAGATGAACCTAAACACTGTAAGAGTGGAGCTTGGGTTACATATCATCAAATATATCATTTGGCAATAACTTCTGGGTTCCTGATCTTAATACCTTTTAGAGCAGTGTTTCTCAACTAGGGATAAATAGAAACTCTCCAGGGGATACATGAAGCATTTAGATATCTACAAAAAATGCAAATAGTACCATGGACTTTTCATGTTACAATTAGAGGGCATTTGTTTTTCATCTGTTGCTTAACATTGTAGTTATATATATACTTCCCTACAGTCTACACCATTGTATATGATATTGTAGCATATGTTTAACATAAACTGTACTAGGCGTGCAGATAATACTGGGGGTCCACAAGACAACTCAGATTATTGAAAGGGGTACAATAGTCAGGAAGAGTTGAGAACCACTGCTTTAGAGGACATCTTATAGGTCAACATGTGGATGGATCTTCAGTTTTTACCTTCATCACATTGCTGTTTTGTCAGCTTTGGGATGTTGTTTGCTTCCTGTAATTATTCTCCAGATCAGATGCATTCTATAGCAGGTAAGTTGTTCTCTATTTAGAAATTATTTAATCCTTGGACCTACATTTATGCTTTGTATTTCTAATCTGTCAACACCTTCTGTACCCATTTCAATGGTGTCTAGGATATTGAAATGCTTAAGAAAAACTTCATATGAGATTCTGTATTTATATGGATTAGTCCACTCAGGACTCTCACTTGCTAATTAGCTTCTATCACACACAAGTTTACTTTCTATGCTGGGTCTTCAGGAGAGGATGTTGCACCCTAGAAGAGAACAGAGGGTGTTTCCACCTTATGGGTACCTTTCCCATCTGTGTATGCACATCCTTGCATGAAATTAGAGATATCTGAGGTGTGTTGTCCATTCTCAATAGATAGCTTCAATCAGGATTGTATCATCTGTGTTTCTTATTATTGTTTTTTTTTTTTTTAATTTCCCATTGCAATGTCCTCAAATTGGATCTCATTAATTTGGCCAGTTTTGTGACTTGTTGAAGTGTTTAGATATGGATGAAAAGGGGGTTGTAACTGCTGGAATTATATCCAGTTGTATTTGTCTGGGCTGCTTTTCTAAGAACCTTCCACTACAGCAGCAGGACATAGTATTTCTCTTACATATTTGAGCCACTATTTGTGTTCCCATAATTGGCTCCACAGGTTCAATAAAATATTACTATCCTAATCAAACCCCCTCTCACTAGCTCCTTCCTCCTTTTTCAATGTGGATAATCTGGCCTTAAGTATTTCATAGGTAAGACTAGGTGATTTGCATTTTACATTTTTAGAATTAAAATGAATGTCAAACGTGTACTTATTTTTGAAATATTTTCCATTATACCTTCCCACAACCAGACCATAGTTGGTGTTCATCACAACTGGAACTTAACAAAAATCTGAATTATGGCAGGAAAGTAGAGCTTAGGCAACATCTATTGATACGTGTACAATAAGTCATGTGGAAGCTGGGAGAGTGGAAAATATGAAAGTGATGCATGCTCTTCAATGTATAAAATACATTTAGAATTTGGAGTAACATTTATTGACAGTGTGAAAGTAAACTTAAAAAGGAAAGTTCTACAGTATTTCAGATTTAAGTACCTTTTTGAAGTTCATTTTAAGAGTGTAAAATTTCAGTTAGCAACTATGAAGAGTTCTTTGTAAAAGGTTATATTTTGATAGTTTGTTGAGCATATGGGTAAAATTTATCACAAACCATCATCATCAGACTTGGGTGGACAGATAGGTATTATGCTTGTTTCATTATTTTATTGCTATATATACTGTGAGACCATTTAATACATTTCCATTAAACACAAGTGCAAACACCCTCAATATTTTTTTCAAGGACTATTTGAATACCTTATTAAACCAATCAAATTTAATTAAATTTAAATTTTTGATGATATTTGGATTTCAGAATTACTCTATATACAGTAGTTTCAGTGTTATTTCTTCGTAAGTTACTTTTATTCAATACCAAAAAACACACACAAAAATGTTAATTTTTTGCTCATTAGGTCTTCTTGTAAAACTTCTTTATAGTTTTTTCTTTTAAAATATTTTTGCTGAGCAGATTTAATAAGCTAGATCTCCTGTTGAAAATAATACAGCATGGGAACTTAAAAACGTTTATTAAAGCAATAATTAATGAATATAATTCATCTTGATTTATAGTCTTGGATTATTAATACGGTTAACTTTTTTGCTAAGATCTTCAAAGTTAGTAATATTTCATTATATGTTAAGTATAATATTTATAAACAACAGTTAAGATCTTTAACATGTGGAATTATTCAATATTAAGAAATAATTAAGCCCATTTACTGAAATATGGTGTGATTTTAACTTTCTTTTTATAACAACTTTTCCATTTTCTATGGGCATTCACCACTGCTTTTCAATTATGTTTTCATCCAACTACTTTAGTTAAATGTATCATTTGAAGACAGTTAAATACTAGGGACCAAATCTTAAGTTTTAATGACACTTATACCTGATAAGGGAACAAAAAAGAAGCATTGAGTTTGAATAATTGTTTATCAACAAAAACAATTTTCTGCTGAAAGAAATATGCAATTGCATATAATATATACTTGTTACTACTCAAATATAATTTGTTGCAGGATTGCATACAGTGGTACATGCAAGAATTGCTTCCATGAAGCATGTCGGGGATTAGTAAATATCAGCAATTTATCTTGAAAGAAAATGGGGTGTGGAGCAACCCATTTTTTTTTTTTTTTCACATCACAATATGTTTCAAGAAGTGTGAGGAACTTCATGCATTTAAAAGTCAGACATGCCTAACCCTATCTAAGCAGAGACTGAAAGAAAAGATTGGTGTTTATGGATTTGCTGTATTTTTTGCTGAGCATAATACAGCACTCATATTTCCCTAGTAGGAAAGATGAAATAGTATTGAACAAAGTATCACAAATTTGAAATTTGTAGCTTCAGTACAAATGTAGTTTTATTGATTTTAGCCAATCACTGTTTTTCAATGTTGATTATCATGTTGTGATGTAATTGACTATATCTCAGGTTTGAAAAGTTATAGGTTAGTGAACTAAATATTGAATGTAAATTGTTTTTTTTCTTAGTTGTTCTTTTCAATTGTGTTAGTCAATATGGCTTGTTCAGTGGAGACTCGTGTAAGTATCAGTACAAAGTGTTAAGAGCTTAACTTGGTGATATACTGCTAGAAGAACAGATGTTTGTGAATAATATCTGTTGTAATCCTAATTTTTAGAGCTTGCTTTATCATTTTGTACTTCATATGAATTGTAATGTTGGAGTATGACAGGAAATGAACAAGGTGAGGTAAAGAAATGTTAGGCATAGTTAGATCATTTTACACTTGGTTAATGTTTAGGGAAACCTAAAGTATGTTGTTTTTGTACTTGTATCAGTACATGTACTTCTGCACATTCATTTAGCATCTGTGTAAAGCAGTTATATGAACAAAATTTCACTAAAGAGCATAGATTTATACCCCTTCCCTGTGAATAAGTAATATCTGTACATAAATACAGTTGCTTGTTATCAACTAAGCCTACATCCTCATCTTAGCTAAGACCAGTCTACAGTTTCTTTCACATCCCAATGAGATAGTGCTTTTTGTATATACTGTGTAGACAATTGTATATACCTTTATATATGTGTATGTAGGTTGCATCAAGTTTTTTAAATGCCAGTATTTTTACTCTTCACTTATGCATGCACACACACATCAATAAATCATGCTCAGAATACCAATAGGAAATGTGTACATTTTAGTTTTTAGCTTATTGAAGACTGTCAAGTTTAATGAACTACTAAGACAATATTTGCAAGTAGATCTTGAAATCAATGTTGGTCAACTGGTAAATGCTAGTGAGTTTGGTTATTCAGCCAGTTACCATCAAGGGGCACTGGCATTTCTTTTGCCAGTTGGTAATCCATTAGTCAAAATTATGTGAAAATAGTCAGAAAACCCAGCATTTATGTGCCATCCATAGATAAGTCGTGCTCTGATTATACATGTAGAAAGGAAGTATTATGGTTTGGTAAAATGAAATGAGTTACATGTGTTCTAGACAACTTATGAGTTAGCAAAAAATAAATGTAATAATTATCTCCTTTCTTATCAATTATATATCTTATCACAGTGCAAATTTCACAGCGTATGTTACAAGGTGATAAAGTGAAGTTAAACTTGACTTTTGGTGATTGTATGTGTGTGTTGTACATTACATGTTTTAGTGATTTGAACAGAAACTTTACAGTACTTTTCCATCTCTTTTTTTTCTTCCTAATTTCTTACAAATATTCTAATAAGTTTGAGTTATTTTGAGAATAATATAATGAACAGTGCAGTTTTATACTAAATTAGGTGTATGTTTAATTGCCCTGTTGCTGCAGTCTTGAACAGCAATTAGCAGTCTTGATCTCCACTTTGTATTTAGAGCGTTATAGTTTCTTATTTACATTGGGAACATGGTGTAAAAATTGAACATCATAATAAAAAAAAATACAAAATGAATAAGTAACTAAATAACATTGATAAAAAATATAGCAGCAAGATCTCTATGATCAATGATTTGAAGTTAAGTATAGCATAGTGCTATGTATGTTGTGAACCGACAGGTGTGTTACTCCATAACTAATGGGAGGAGCGTCTGTGCTTTGGCTGGAACTAAAATCTCCTTTAGCATGTAACCAGTTCATTTTATGTGATTTTGAAAACTGTACATTTCTATGAGGTGTTGATGTTGATACTCATGGTTATAAAAGCTGAACCTGTATATGTTTTATGTTTTTTCTTCCCCTAACTTTTACTATGTTCTTGCTTGGATGTTTTTCAAAACACAAAATTCACCACAGACATGTGGTTTGCCGAGCAAGGTTATTGAGGGAAGTTTCAGAAAAATGAGAAAATTTTCTAACTTTAAGAAGTAAAAATATAAAATTTTGAAATAGGGTATTTTTATTTCGATAAATATTTCATAAATATAAATATTATGAAGTTTTGTTAAGTTTATTTTATTGTTTCAAAACTACCTATTTTCATCAGGTAAAGATGGAGGAAAGGTGACTACAGTTTTGGCAACTCCAGGCCAGGGACCTGACAGGCCACAGGAAGTATCCTACACTGATACCAAAGTTATTGGAAATGGTTCTTTTGGTGTGGTTTATCAAGCTCGACTTGTAGATACTGGAGAGTTGGTTGCTATCAAAAAAGTTTTGCAAGACAAGAGATTTAAGGTAAATAATTAAATCTATTCTTCACATCATCATTACTCATCTTTATGAAACTTACAAAAATAATCAAACTGTGGTTCAACAACAGTATTTAACTTTAGTGATCAATGAACCAGCTTTGCTTTTTATTGTAATTTGAGACCTTTTATTTTCAAACTGTTCATAATTCACAAGAACCTCTTTACACCTATGCGAGGCCTGTACTTATCTGCTCATTAAGACATTTTTTTTTCTCATTACTTATATGCTTAAAGATTAATGATTAACTATTTTCCATGATTTCATGTTGAGGTTTCTTAAGTCATTGCATTGATTACATTTCTTTAAGCAGAGCTTGCATATTAATGCATTAGTGAATATGCCAGTAACAGTCTGTTACCTGAACTGATGCGAGCTCTTTAATATTTGATTTATGCAACTTAAATGTTTAATGAATTCAGAAAGGTCATTATTCAAACAAACTAGACAATAAATTGTCTCACATGGCCATTTGTTAGTAAACATATACTTTCTGTATTAATCACATAGTTTTCAGTAAATAGCAAAACGTTTGGAATTAAAAACAAGTACATAAGGGTATGACCTCAATGAAAACATGAGTTTGACAAAGTTGGCAGTAACTTCCATTTTTCTTCTAATAAAAGTGAATGCCATGGAAATACTTAGAAGTATATCAACCAATTATAGATTTTTGTTAACATTATTTTAGTGATTTAAACATGGTATAAAATATTTAACCTGTCAAAGAGCTTACACTCCATGAAACAAGTTTTTTTTTAATAAGAAAATTGAAGTTAGTGTAGTTAATTTGTGTAGTCAGTAGGGGGGGGTATTTTAAAATATGTAATAACATGCACATATATTTGTATTTAAATCAAAGATTGGATTTCACTGAAAATAATTTCAAGGGTTGTGTTTTTGAGTCAACTGTACATAAAAAATTCAGATTGTAATATTTTTCTTGAAAAAAATTACACATTGAGCCTAAAAATTGCTCATCTTAACGTGAAGAATATTGTGGAAAAGTGTCTTCTACACTTGAGACCCTAATGCATGTCATGTTTAGATGCAACAGTTTAGTAAATTAATTGTCAACCAGTTTTTTTACTTCCTAAGAATCTAAAGTTTTTTCTTCTGTCTTTTACAACTGAAACTTTCTATTTTAGACATAGATATGCAGCAGGCCAGGTTTGCAGTCATTTTTTTTTCCATGAGTATCATGTCTTTGCCAGGCTGTGTGTGTTTTTGCCTGTATTTTTACTCATTTGTACACCTTAATGTACATTCTCTCTAGAGAGGACATTGGTTTTCTTTAGACTGGAATAAGTATCTTAGAAATGGTACCTAACCTCTACTGTAACTCTTAGCTGTTATACTTTACCATCTGCCATTTAAAGTTTTGTAAGCTCCTACACATGAAAATTATTTGACTTGTTTGTTTGCTGCTGTGTATTATTTAGAACAATTACTATTAGCTATGTATTACTACTTTTTCCACTGGTTTTGGGCTATTAAGTAAATTTTTAATGCATGCTTAACCTCTAGGGTATCATTCAGAAGTATAGATTATAATTAATTTATGTTTGATTTTTATATGGTTAACCTATTGCATTACTGTTTAACCCTTTCCCAACCAATGAATTCTCGGGTCTTTTGAGTACACACTTGAAATCAACTTTAAAAGTTTACTTGACAAATTTTATTCCTGTTCTGTGTAAGTCACTGTCTCATGCCACCACATATCACATTCCATTAATAAGCCTGCATTGGGCAATCACTTATGTGAACCTGGCCATCCTTAATAAATTTATAAAAAGCATTGATAAAATAACTAGTTTAATACTATAATATAATGGAAACTCACATCTTTGGCACATTTTCAGTATGTATATACTGCTGGATAATGGAAGTGTCCAAATCAGATTGGATATCCAATAAAAACTACTTTTCATCCCATTCCTACCATTAACCAACCTAAATAGAAGTTTTAAGTTGTATATAGATAATGTGAGATGAACCTTTTGTTACCTTCTTCTCACTTACATGATTTGTTTTTTACTTACTATTTATCAACAAAGATTTATCTGTCCCAGCTCTACTGTGTTACTGGGCTGCTTTGAACTTTTGTTTTATCTTCAGTGGGCCTCTTTCTCCTCTCTCTGCTCTGTTGCTCTGATGTAATTTTATCTAACAAGGCCTCCTATTCTTCATTGTCTTTAAGGGTTTGGCTCAAAGTCCTTTTGAACATTTAGCCACTTATGATTTCAGTTTTCTTTGGAAGATGTTCTTTTTTGCTCTTCTTGATTTCTGCATGTTGTCAGTATGACTTTAATGCTAACAATGTTAAATGCACATTAATTATTTTTGATTTAATTGTACTTTTTTTTATAAATGGTTAAAAAAATGTAATTACTTTAGAAAAGATTGCTTCAATTCTAATCATATTTCGTGCCTAGCAAGAGCGATTGGCTGTATTGCTCTCATAAGTTCCTTGAAAATCTTCTTCAGGCAATTATTAGTGCCATATCAGAATTCGGTGACTTGGGGATTGTCTTTTATGAGGTGATTTAAGTTTCTCATTTTTTATGTATAAAGTATGCTTACCAAGCATGAATCACCAATGATTTTTTTAGATCTTTTATCATCAGATACACGACTTGTGTCTTTTACTTGTGGCTATTAGAATTCTGTTCACTAACTATTACCTCCACTTTCAAATTATGTTGGCAGATGGTTGTCTTTCTCTACTAGAGATTGCAACCCATTGTTAAGTTTGCTCATGTTAGTCTTATATATTACTGTACTCGTCTATCTTAGTCCATACACATTGTTTTTAAGGCAGCAGTACACTGTCAAAAATACTTGAGGAAAGCTTAGAAAAATAGGAGCATGGAAAAATAATAATTTTTATAATAAAATTAGAAAAAACGACCTTTACACTCCAGGTAATTATAAGAGAACTTTTATTTTAACAGACATTTCACCTTTGTAGATTCTTCAGTGTTAGTACATAAAACTGTTTGATGTCATAATGTTACTTATGTGAAATATAAAAATAATTACACAATGTTTTATCATTAGCTACAGAACAAATAGACAAAAAATAGAAGCTGCTAATAACTAAAAATTTGAAGTTGAGAGGATACAAAGTTTACTAGCAGTGTAAGACTTTAAAAAAATAACTGCAGTTAATTACTATGTTGTTGCGACTCTGAAATTTGTAGGATATGCTGTAGTAGTAAAATAGTGAAAAAAAGGTTCTAAGACTGTAATATGCTAGAATACATGGACACTCGCAGGAAGGGGCAGGGGGGTTACTCCCCCTCCCAGATTTTCAAAAAGAAAAGAAATTACTAGATATGTAAAATTATTCTTCTATGTTATTGAAAAAGCATAAAGTATTTATAATAACAGGAGTATTAACAATAGTATGATTAGTATTTAAATTCTGTTTATTTCTTGTTGATACAGTAATTAAGAAGATATTTTAATCAAATCATAGTTTTATATTTATTCAGCCTGTGCCAGAAAAATGGCGACTTCCAGTCTTCCATAGAAGAAAACTATTTCGATTTCATAATTTTTTCAAACTTGAGTTACTTGACCCCCTTTAATTTTTTCTCTGCAGGTGCCCTTGCTAGAGTATACAACTTTTTAATTTAAAAATGATGTTAAGCATACTGGTATGATGTGTGTGTGTGTACTTCTGTTTGTTTTTTTAATGGGAGCTTAGTCACATGTACCATCCATTGGCTTTCTTCATTTTTGGATTTTTTACATAAATTATTATACCTTCCATATATTTTCTCTCTTTAAAATCCTTGGTTTTTTGTAAGAAAGAAACTTGAAATGGGTTTTGGTTTTCTGTGTTTGAAGTTCCGGGTTTGTAGAGGAAATTCTGCTGGGGCAGTTTTGTGTTGGTCGTACATGTATTTAGTAGTGATGTTCTGAGATGCGTGTGTGCAAAGGTCTTCCAGTTTCTCATATATATATATATATGTTTCCACATATATTACGTATGATTTGGTAGATTATGTTTTTCGTGTGGGACCTATGCCTTATTCCTTTTCTCTGGCATGGCATTGTTTTTATCACATTTTATTTATGAGTACAAAGAGTAAACTAATGGTTCTCTCAGTATTTTGCCTGGTTTTTGTGTAATGTTGATTGTTAGTTGAGATTGTTCAATGGCTTTGTGTATCTTGGTTGTGATTGTGTTGGTATGAAAGGAATGTTCATTGTGGGTATTTTAATATGTACCTTTTTGTTGTGTGATGTGTTGCTATTATAATGATTTATATTTTTTTTATGATTAGAAAACTTTATCGGTGTGATATTCAGGGTAACCATTTTGTAATAGTGTTTTAAAGTCTTTTCGTGCTATTTTAATGACATTTGACTTTCATGTAAGTTTCAATTTAGTCTTTTTAGTTCTGGTCTGGGTGGTGTGATTTGTAATGGAGAAATGTTTTCTTCTTACATTTTTGTAATGCATGTTACCCCACATTTGTCTGTCTTGAACTTTTATTAGAGTTATGTCTAAGAATGCTAACTTTCCTTCTTCATTTGGTAGTTTCAGTCCTAACTTGATTGATGGGTGGAAGTTGTTTAGTGAGGAATAAAACTGCTGTAGTGCTTCTTTTCCAGGATTCTATTTACCAAATATTTCATTGGTGTATTTGTACCACACTTCTGGAATTAAATCTTTTTTTTTTTTTCAATATGTTTAAGAGTTTTGGTTTCTAGTGTGTGCATGAATATTATTGCAAATGTGACTGCTGATCTATTACCCATTGTCACTCCTGTTGTTTGTTAGAATATTTCCAAATTTAACATAATTGTTGTACAGGACAAAATTAAGCATTGTGCAGATGCTTTCTAGTGTGATGTTTGCTGGAAAGACATTTTAATCATGTGAAGACGTGAAATTAGTGGTGCTTTCTTTGCATATTTGTATTAGTATGGATGATTACAAAGCAGTTACATTTAAGGAAAATAAAATG